ATCTCTATGACAAGCAGGTAGACAACAGCTCAGAGAAGGGTGCCTGCACCAAACTCCCAAGGTGACAGGGACATAGGGACGCTGTCTTCCTCAAGGTTTACATCTTAGATGACTCAGGCCTAGGAATGCATTCCTGGCTGGAATGCTGGCAAGCAGCTTATACCACTTTTTAAAAGATTTAGATGTGAATCAAAGGGAGACAGGAATATTTCTAGGACCAGTTCTCTAAAGGAGAACCTCTACAAAAGGGAGAAGAGAGACAATCTGTACCTTTTGTCAACAAGCACAATGTAATCTTTTATTTATTAAGTTCTTTATTTACAATGCTGAGGATGGAACCCAGCTCAGCCAGCACTCTACCACTGAGCCACGCCTCCAGTCCCATCTTAAAAAAAAAAACACCCATAATATGCTAATAACAATGTCCAAGAATATGGTAAAATAAAAGGTGTTAATAAAAATAATAACATACTCAGGATAACCAACACAATATATTTTAATATAAAGATACACTTTCCCAAGAATATCTAAATAATAAATCCATTTATGTCATAATTACAAATACTCCAGAAGGGGTTTTAAAAGAAAATTAAAACATAAAGTAATATTACATGCTCTTTAGATGGGGCAAAGAATCAAATCCCACATACCCCACTAGGTTTTTATTAGAGAATGTCTTTATGGTGTTGGATAAGTCAGGAACTATTCTGTGATTTGCTTTCCTTTTTTACCTTAGAAACTTACAAGTAGTAGGTTATTAAGTAGGTGATGATTGGTGTCACATTCTCCATCTAGATAAGTGGGTTAAACCTTTGACCCCACTCCAGTGCCTCCTTGAGCCAAGAGAGCACACCTGCACTCAGCTGGCCAATGCAGGTGTGTCAGATGCTATAGAAATGTTCAGGAGCTGGAATAGAGATCCACATAGGATGAGCCAGCAGGGAACCAAGATGGGGCAACAGGTCAGGGTGAGGAATGGGAAAGAAAACCAGGCTCTGAAATGAGGATTTCCAGATGTGTGCTCTCATCTGGGAGAGAGTAGAGAGGGGCCACCTTAGAATGAAGATGTAGAGCAGGTGAAGAGGGAAACCCCAGAAACAGGCACACACTTCAGCTCCAGTTGTCACGTATTGCTGTGTGACTCACACAATTTTCTGAGTGCAGTTTCCTTGCCTAACAAAAAGAAATAATTTCTGATAATGAATCAGATTCCATATTTCCCCCAGCATTCTCTCCAGTCAAGGTTTAGCATTGTTGTTGTAAAAGGAGAGAGATTTACAAGGACCAACTCCATGATCACAGAGCAAGCAAAGAAGGTGAATTTGTAGCTGAGAGACAATAAATACATAAGATATCTATCTTTATTTCTATATCTGTACATCAGTGCAAACCAGCGTCTTGAGGCTGACAATATTCTGTCATGTAGATAACACTCATTTTGTTTCTGCATTCATCTGCTGATGGACATTTGTTTAGTTTCCTCTCTTTAGCTATGGTGAATCATGCTGCTGTGAACATCTGTGTACAGATCTTTGTTTCAAGTACCTGCTTTCAATTCTTTGGGGTATATACACAGGAGTGGAATTTCTGGATCACATGGTGGTTCTTGTTGAATAACCACCAAACTGTTCCATTCGAATTTCCACCAGCAATGTTAAGGGAGTTTCAGTTTCTCCCCGCATCATTTCCAAAATGTGTTATTTTCCTTGAGTAATGTTAACATAGCCATCCTCAGTGAAATGATTTCTTATGGTGGTTTTGGTTTAGATCCCTGTTTGTATCCACTCTGGGATACAAATCAATCATTATTATTTTTATATTAACTATTATTAACTTTTCATACTTTCTAACATAATCCATTTCCCAAACAAGTTGGTAAAGTTTCTTTTACTCACAGTCTTGAACTTTATCTTATGACATAACATACATCTCTTTGTTTGTTGCACTTGTTCTATTAATTCACTGCCACTTATGTTTGTGTTTGTTCATAATTCTTAGTTTTATATGTCACCCAAATAATATGTCAGCATAAGTCTCTGATAATTTCTCCTTTTTCACTGTTAGTTTTTATATTTCAGATAATATTTCATATTTGTTGCCAAATTCCCCTCCAAACAATTCCACTGATAAGATCATAATGCTGCGTTCTGTATCTGTTGAACAATGATGGTCTTTGTTCACCTGATTTCACAGAGATTTGTGAAATGGATCCAAGTTTCTGAGCTTCTGCTATCAAACCTCCCAAACCTGGATTCAAAACCTGACTAGATTTGCTTTRTGGAGAAAAAAGATGAGATGTAGTTAGGTTTAAGTAAAGATCAAACAATTGAAAATGAGACTGATTATAATCTATTACTTCTGAATTTTGTTTTATTTCTCTTTACTCATCTGCTTCTCTTAACCACAACACTCTCAACACTTTCCAAAGAGAAACAACAAACAGAAGTCCAACACTCCATCTATATTCTTGGTAAAGGAGAAATCAAGAGAATCGACATTTGATTTTTTAGGCTGAAAAACATTTCCACACACGGAAAAACTCATGCTGAATAAGACAGACACCATACACACACAATCGCAGACTTGCGGCTCCAGAAGCTCACCTTGCTAAGAGCCAGTGGAACTTTACTATTGATGACACTTGTGTCATACAATACTGTTTTCCCTGTAATCCCCTTTTAGAGCAGATGTCTTCTAGCCAATCTCCATAAGATAACTTGGGCTGATTGACAGATATCACCTGAAAAAATCCAGCAGTTCTCAATTTGAAAAACTTTGAGTTTCTGTAATGATTTAAAATCAGAATTGACAAAGTGCAATGGTTTCTATCTGGAGTGTTCCTCAATGGCCCATGTAATGAAGGATTGTATATGGAAGACCCAAGGTGGCTATAGTTAGGCTCCGTCACTGAGACTTTCAGCCAGTTGTTTTAGTATGTAGTCAAGGTCATGAGTATCTTTTATGACCCTTATTCAGCATATGGACTCAAGGTCATAAATATCTGCTGTATGCATTCACCTATGTAACCTGTTGGCACTGTGCCTTCTTTGGCCTGCATATAAAAACGGTCTATGGAAAGACTTGGGGCAAGGATGCTTCCATATTTGGATAAAACATGTCTACTGTCCCAACTGCACCTCACATCTTCTTCCACTGCCAGGATCCTGAATCTATATCCTAGGTCTGAGCCCCTGCAGGACCTAGCTCCCCAACCTGAGGTGCTATTGGGATGTAGTAGATATGTTAGGAGGTGAGGCCTTGCTTTTGGAGATAGTTAAGTCTATGGATGCCTTTGAAGGGATATTTGGACCCTGGCCCCTTCCTGTTTCTTTGCTTCCTGGTTGCCAAGAGGTAAACAGACTTCCTATGCCACCTGCAATAATATATATACTGGACACCCATAGGCCCAAAGAAACAGGATCAAGTAACATGGACTGAAACCTCTTAGCCCATGAATCAAACAACGAAACAAACAAAAAAACCTTTCCTTCTTTTAAGATAATTGTCTAAGGTATTTTGTCATGTAGCAAAAACAGACTAACCACACTAGGTTATGAAAATAATGTTAAGTATGAATGATGTATTCATGTGTGAGTATGTTAATTTGAGTGTGCTTGTGAGTTTAAGAGCAGGTCGTATATATATGGGAATGTGTTCATGTTTGTATGTAAGTGATTTTGTGTATGCATGTGAGCATGTTCATGTGTTTGAATAAATGTGTGGCTTCTAACAACAAATGTGTAGTCCTTGGGCACACCATATGTCAACAGTGGATGTTCAGGCAGTCAATCTTTGGATGCTTGAGGGACACAGCCTGATGAAATGGCCATCATCTCAAACCTTGGTGTGCCAGATAGAGAACAGGGCTTTTTCCACCTGTTATACCCGACATGGATTACTCTCCCCTGAAAGCTAAGCTCATGATTTGCATTCCCAACTCTCTGGCAGGAATTAGTCACTTAGTTTCACCCAAGTACAAGGGATCCATGAAGTGAAGCTCTACCCTAAAATTAGAAAGGAAGTGAATTAAAAATTTTGGCAATACCCCCACCACAAATAGAAAATCCCCAGTAGGAACATAGTCTCTAGGTGGTCTTCTTATGCCTTAAAT